CCCCAAAACCCCAAAACCCCAAAACCCCAAAACCCCAAAACCCCATTTTAAAATTAGGCACTTGAAATATAATAATTTTACTTACTTTACTAGCATGGATACTTTTCACGCTCAGAGCTTCACTTCGGAGAAGCTTGTCTTCTCTGAGGAGGAAGACTTATTCAACACTCCAAATTACTTTGATCAAGGGTATAAAGAGGTTATGCCCGATGATAACTTGTTCCAAGATGTGCCGAGCTTAGGTTTGGCCTTTGGAAACAAACACAATGATGTAGGCTCTGGAAACCAGCCTAATACTTACTTTGACCGCATCTGTAGCCCCTCTGAGCATTATGGTAATGAGTCCTGCCAAGCTGATTTTGGTATGAGCGCCAATTCGTTCCATTTCCACTTTGATAGACTCTCAAATGATGTTTTAGCCGAAAAATCTAAGAATAAGATCGGCAGGACCCAAAACGGAATCCTTTTCCAGATCAATGATGATGAAAAATCTGATAAATCAGCTTATGATAGCACTAATGCTAGAAAAACAACTGCTTTCACCAACATTGAAGAGAAACATGACAATGGAATAATTCCAGAACAAGCACATGAATTTTCTGATGTTCTCGCTCTCGCTAAAGATGAATCTTTGGACAAGCCATCAGAACCTCAAGTCAAATCTACTAATTCTAGAGCTTGCGATATCCAAAATTCTTCAAAGACCCCCAAGTCGACCAAAGAAGACATTGATCTGTCCATCAGAAGAGATGTGGTAAATAAAACCGTCCTTAGAGTCATGAGGAGATTCTTTATGCAGAAATTTAAAGACGCCTACCCAAAGAAGTTCAGAAGCAAGGAAGCTAAATCCAAATGGTACTTTGAGTACATCAAGAAACTGACTGCTGAACTTTTTGGAGTCGACAATCCTGATCTTAAAGTCCTCCAAATCAACATGGCTGCTATTATCAACCCTAAGCACATGACTGCTGCCGATATAACTGAGACTGGGTTGGAGAAGGAAGAATTTCTAACCTTCTACAATACTATTTACAAGTACTCGCACACGAGACTTGCCAGTTTATTCAAAATCACCTCCCTTAAAACAATCTTTAATTACTTCTACAACGGTCCAATGGACCAGATTATTAATTCAGAGACCTCAGTGAAGAAGAATTCTACTTTATACTTCAAAGCCTTCGAGGACTTCCAAAGAGTCTTTGAGGGATATACTGGGGATTCATCCGCAGTCCTCGAGATCCTGTGTATGAATGCATCAAACTCTACTGCTACTCTAGCCTAAATCCTATTGTTCCGCTACTTTACTGGAATAATAGCTACTTTACTTTCCTCTCACGTTACTTTACTTGACTAATATTCCCAAAAATTCAACTTGTTCATTCAGAACCGGGGTTTTGGGGTTTTGGGGTTTTGGGGTTTTGGGGTTTTGGGG